AATATATTAAGCTAGCTCCACACATTTGTGCCAAAAGGCAGGTGAGGGCCCACTACGTGAGCTAAACTCATGGAAGGTGGCTGCATTGCACATTCCAAGCATGGAATCAGCAGTCCATGCACGCTCTCTCGAGCTCTCTCCTCATGTCCACTCCACGAACACAGGTGGCTCTATATATATATTATATATACATTTCTATATATATCTTGATATTTTTGGTCCTCTTTTATTCATAACCGTCCATGCAATCGATATCGCCTTGGAAATAATACACATACGACTTTTATAGATGCAATGTACTTCATTCTACCAGAGCCGCCGTGGTTCACGAAAAGGCCGAGCACCGAATGTGGACAGACATAGACATTCTTGGGGTAAGAATCTTATGGAAGATTATTTTATCCCACAATTTCTGTACTCTGATATTCATTTTCGAGCACGATATAGAATGCAACCCCATTTGTTCAATAAAGTCATGCATGATATTTGCAATTATGATGACTATTTTGTTCAAAAGAAAAATTGTGCTGGAAATTTGGGGCTTCTTCCAGGGCAAAAGTTCAAAGCTGTGATACGAATATTGGCGTATGAGTCATATGCTGATCAGGTGGATGAGATTGCCAGGATGGGGAAGTCCACTATTTTGGAGAGCTTGGTGCGATTTTGTGATGCAATGGAAACTCTGTACACCAGGGACTACCTGCGTAGACCTACGCCCAGGGACCTGCAACGGCTTCTACAAAAAGCTGAGTCTCGTAGATTTCCTGAGATGATTGGTAGTATTGACTGCATGCACTGGCAATGGAAAAATTGTCCAATTGCTTGGCAAGGGGATTATGACAATCGGAAATGGCAGAAAAGCATCATTCTCGAAGCAGTTGCTGGTTTTGATACATGGGTTTGACGTCTTCTTTGGAGTTGCTAACTCTCAAAATGATTTGAACGTCCTGGGTCAATCCCCGGTGTTCAATGATGTTCTGAGAGGTGAAAGCCCAACTATCACATATCAAATTAATAATATCGTCTACCAGAACGGGTATTATCTAGCTGATGGTATCTACCCGAGGTGGACAACATTTGCGAAATCAATTCCACATCCCCGATCCCATAAGGAAATTTTTTTTGCTGCCTATCAAGAGGGGTACAGAAAAGATGTGAATAGGTGCTTTGGTATCCTTCAAGCTCGGTGGACAATTATCAAGGGCGCGGCGCGTTTATTTGATGAGGAGGTGCTTAGGAGTATAATGATGACTTGTATCATCCTCCACAACGTGATTGTGGAAGATGAGTATAATTACGATACTGATAAAGTGTATGAACCAGATCCCATGGACACGGCCTTAACACGAATTTATGAAAAACCTATGGGGCTAGATGGAGAACCAGTGCAACATGATCCGTTAGTTAGAGACGGTAGTTTCATGCATTGTATGATTAAGCGCTACACGGAGATGCAATCGTCGTATATTCATAAACACTGTCAAGTTGACTTGATGGAGCATTTGTGGGCGGTGAAAGGCAATGAAGGATAATAAAATGAAGTGAAGATGTTTTTTTTAATGTATTATGTTTATGTTGTATTTTTAGTTATGCTTTGTTGTTTTTTTATGCTTTAGTTGTGGTTTGTTTATTTTTTATGCTTTTGTTGTGGTTTGCTTTTTATGTATGGAATGTTTTGAATAAAAATGAATTTGGTTGAATATTTTCTTCATTCACTAAAAGAAAATCAATAGAACTCATAAAATAAAATACTTGAATTACCACTACTTTTTTAAACAAAACAAAAAATACAATGAAATGAAAGGCAAGCAAACTAACTTAATGGTTTTGATCATTTAACCAATCCATGTTGCTAGGTCCATCGTCACGAAAAAGTCTTCGTCTCATAACATCCATTCGTTCTAAGTTCTCATGGCTTGCATCTTTGAAAGCTCCTCCAAATATTTAGATGGATTCTTGGTAGAATTACTCCCTCTCTTCGCCTTCGCCGCCTTCCTCCCAATAGACCTCGACTTCTTTTTGATAGGTGAGTCTTGACTCATCGGGGAATCGATAGGTGAATCTGATGCCGGTGTCTCATGGAGTGGCATCTCGTTCAAGACTACCGTCGGACCCGTTGGAATAATTTGGAATCTCTTACAATTCTTCACCATCTCCCAACATAGGGTATGGTTGAAACTTTTTTTTCCCTTACCCAGTAGCACCAAAAAAACATTTGTGCTTGCATAATCTATAAAAAAAAAAAATGGAAATGCAAGAAACTTTAAAAAATATTGGCAATGCAACAAGTATAAAAAAAAATAATGGAAATACAAGAAACTTTAAAAAATATTGGCAATGCAACAAGTATAAAAAAAAAAAATGGAAATACAAGAAACTTAAAAAAATATTGGCAATGCAACAAGTATTAAAAAAAATAATGGAAACACAATAAACTTTAGCCATTTATTAGAAATGCAAAACAAAATATAAATATTGCAAGAAACATTCATATTAATATTGGAAATACAAGAAATATTAACTAAATATATAAATTGTAAGAAACATTTAAATAAAATTTAATATGACATAGAAATGAATAAAACAAAAATTACAAATAATTTACCTCACTGCTAAGGTTTTCCCCGCTTCTATGGTTGTTCATCGCTTTTGTCAAGGCATCTATCTATTTTCCCAGCTCTTTATTAAGAATTTTTCATCTACTAGATAATGCATGATCCGTACGGGTTGAACCAATTATCCTTTCACAAAATTCCTAATGAATTTTTTTCCACATATGACAGAATTTGATCTCATTGCCCGTTACGGGACACTGAGTAACTTGGAGCCAAGCCTTACACAAGCTAACATCTTTCATCATGCTCCATGCCCCTCCTCCGGTTTCACTAGAAGAACTCATAATATGATAGAGAAAAAAAACAACTTGAAAGTGAAAAAAAATTGAGTAGAAAGTGAATAATAGTAGAAGGAGAACAAAATGTATGATGAGTTGGTGTTAAAAGTGAAGAGTATTGTTTGGTATTTATAGAAAAAAAAAATTCAGTTTTTTTTTTTTTGTATTTTTTTTGTATTTTTTTTCTTTTTTTATTGGGCAAAAAATTGTCTGCCTTTGGATTGCTGGAAAAAAGAGGATCGGAGAGCCCAGAAGCTTCCACGTGGCAGAGGGCCGTTCGGGGTGGCAGTTTCGATTTTTTTTTTTCGCGAAAAAATGGATGCCGTTAGATATCTGGAAAAAGCGGATCGGATAGCCCAGAAGAAGACACGTGGAAGATAGCTGTTGGGCAAGCACTGTAGTGAGTGCGTCAAATCTTTTTTAATGTTGGCGCGTGCCAACGTTAAAAAAATTTAACTGAAACGCTGACGTCGTCGTGACGTCAGCTCAGCCTGCAGGCAAGCGCTCGGGCCAAACCCCACCTCGGGCAAGCTCAGGCTACTGGCCCCCACCTCTTGCCCGAGCTCTATTTTGTTGCTGGAAACGCCTACAACACCCAAACCCCCCCCAACCTGCATTGCTGGAAATGCTCAATGATTAGAGAAATACACAATACCACTTGCTAATTGCCGACTTCAACTCGACTATTTAATCAGGAGAAGCAAACAATATGTACTTGAACATCATGTGAAAGTACTGTGTTAGATTTGGATCCGAGCCTTACTGAGAATCCCACATGACATATAGTCACTGCTTATGCTAGCTGCAGGCTGTCGCTTGTTAATTATTTTGTCGATGTTCCAAATACAAAATTATAAGATCTGGTTTGTGTTTGCCATCTAACATATCTTGACCAAATCGCACATGTCAGAGAAAGAAACAAAAAAGTGATGACCAGCTGACCACATGGTTACCACACAAATATTCTTTAAATTGATCAAATATTCGACTGACTCGAGAAAGAAACAAAAAGGTAATGACCAGTTGACCACATGGTTACCTCACAAATATTCGACCGACTCTAGCACCTAAGGTTCTCAAATCTCACATATTTAAATATCCAGCAAAATTCTCAGCGGTTATAGCTTAGTTGGTTGAACTTTGTAATTCAATTGGTTGAGCTTTTTTATCTACACGCATATGAACAAAGATTCGAAACCCATGTACATCCAATGAATCCAATGAATATTTGTGTAAGTTCATTTCCCCTAATCGTTTGTACTAAAAAAGTTCCAGCAGAGTATTATAAACAAAAACATTACTAGCTATATGTGCATGTCTGAGATCTCTTACTGATCTGAAGGTAGGCCATACAACGTAGAAAATTCTCCCAAGATTTTCTGGACCTTAATGCTATCTTTACAGCTTTACTGTTTAGAGCTATACCTCTCAACAGGCCGTCTAGCTTGCTTTTTCTTGTTTTCCTTCAGTGTACCAATAGGTCCACAACCAACAAATTGTCAAGTTGTTTCATCGATCAAGAATCAGGATAAGCTTGTTAATTAACCAATTACTTCATCATCTTTTGTTCTTTAAATTTTCAACTTTACTTATAGCTACATATTACTAGCCACAAGTAATTGAAATCTCAAAATTCTGACTTAAACCCTGTTTTTACACAACTGTTAGACGTTGGCAAAACAAAAGTAACAATAGGGGTGAAGGATTAAAAGTGCCTGTGCCTGTGGTAGTATTGGCGTTACTCGGACTGCACTAGTACTAGAGTAATGGATGTTATGATGTTTTTAGGGCAAGACAGAAATATGCTAACATGCGTGGATGACTCTCAGCCGTGATGTATTATGCTACTCATTTGCATAAACTACCCAAGATTTCCTCATCAGGGTAATGGTAAAATACACTCCAACTATGATGTGGTCCTGATTTTCAATAAAGAAAGTCAGATGCCCCGTTCTTCTTTCCATGAAAAATGAAAGTTGAAACCAGTTGACATGGTTTCAACCCAACTGATCCTTGCATCTGGTTTTAACCTCTTGGTTTTGGTTTAAGCTAATGCTAATTCTGCAATGGTTACTTCTCAAAACGAGAATTGATCAAATGGAAGATGAATTTGAACCTTCACAATAACTTAACGGTTTTACTAACATGGAATAATCACAACTGTCCAGTTTCTGACCCTATAAACAGTAATACTTAATTGTTTTTGCACCCCTTGTTTTCCCTCTGCTGGAACATGCTATTTTCCAATCAACTGCAGAGATGGCTAAACATTATTTATGTTGCTAAACGTATCTAATCATGCTTCTTCCAATTGACCTTTCCTTTTGGGATCCTGCTGAGGACACCGGTATCGAGCTTCCGATAATTATGTTGAAGCTGCCCGAGGACCTGGTATGCAAAGTTGTCGACCTGATCTTCGTATCTCTCGTACAGAACTGGCAATGTGTGAGCAGCAACAAAACCTAATAAACAACGACCTATGTCAATTCTCTTCCATATATACCAGGATAACAATATTATTAATAAAAACCATATTATGTACCATAAAAAATTCACTCCAATAATCTAAATGGTTATCCCAAACTTTAACCATACCATCAACAGAACACATGGTCATCAGATAATAAGTTCATAAGAGACTCGATATTATTAGTGGTTGGATCTCTCACCAATGTACAAAACGGTAAGAAAATTACACCAGCTTCCTATCACTGCAGCAACCCACAAGCTTGCTACAACCTGAGATAATATCTCAACAGTTCATTACAATTGTCAAAGACGTTAAGTAAAAGCATGATAGCATGGGGTGTTGAGGCCTAAAATGCATTTACTGCTAATATCAAGAAACCAGTGAAAGCCAAGCCAAGAGAGTGCTTTTCATAACATAGATATGGTGATGTTCTAGAAATTAAATTGAGGACTTGCATATCAGTCTTTAGGTAAAATTTAGATGGTTGAGATGCATAGTGAGTGAGGGTGGATTAGTTCTATTCTGGTCATTCATATCTAATCTAACAGCCGACGCACAAGTCTTCCAGCTCCTCAACGTGGATCTTAATCAGATCACCTTTGTATATGATATATACAATCATATGTATGAAAAGAATATAATCATCCAAACATACCATAATAAATTGCTTCAAATTTCCTCCAAGTGCAACATCTTGAATAAATTCCAAGGCTCGATTAATTTCATGACCAATCGAGATGGCAATATTGACAAATAATTTATCAGGCACAACAAGGCGAGGTACTTCAGATGGGGACCTGCCACCATGGAGAACACAATACTCAGATCACAACATTCAGCTCTACTGTACACAACATCACCCAACCAAGCAAAATAGAAGCTCAAAACTGAGCATGTTGACGTCACCTGCTAATTATGCCAGAAAAATTTGACCAAAGGAACTGAGCAAGCATAAGAAGAACCAAAGCAAAGCCCACAAGAGTCAAGAAATGATAATTGAGCCATTCAAAGAGCACCCAGACAGCAGTTGCACCAGTTAAAAAACTAGCTGATATCTTTTTGTTCCTCCACAGCAAGACATCAGCAGCTACATAGTTCAGGCATAAAAAGAGAAACAATGCAAGGAGAATTAGCGGAAGCAACAACTTCTAATTGCATAAAAAAATGCTCAAGCATGTATTGGAACATAATGTTCCTACATTTGCCTCCACCCAAAAGGTGGTGGACAGGCTTCTGGCGTCCAAATAGCCGGTTCAACTGTGAAGTGACTGAGTTTGATGTCTCTTCCCCAAAAAGTGGCACAGATTTCTGTTTTGAACTACTTTCAGCAAATGTTTCCACAATGTTGTTCAAAAGATCCTCGGGAGTTATTTTCTCAGGCATTGTTCCTATACTTCAAGAACAAAACTCTGGTCATGGCAGAAACTATAATACACTGAAAGCTTGCTTCAATACAGGAAATGTTTTATAGGAAACATACACACATGGGAGATGCAAAAGACTTAGTAGGGACCATAATAACACTAAATGAGATTAATTATTTGGAAGCAAGGACATATCAATTCTTTTTTCCCTGCAAGCCACTTATTGTAAAACATTGTACTTTGAAGCCTCAGATAAAAGGAAATTGCTTATCCATATGGTCAATTTGGGTTATACATGATTAACGCAAAAAGATATGTGCATGTGCATTATTCAACCTTTATAAACCCATAATAGAATCAGAGAATGAGTACATCATATGAACAGACTTCCTAGTAATTGCTCTAATCTAACCAGGCTCTCTCAGCCATCTAGACTCATTCCCCAAAACTGTAGACCACAAGAATGAAGATGATTCAAAAAAAGAAAAATTCTTGCAAAAGCAAATTTGAAAGGTCACACAACCACAAGTAGCATTGTAAAGATCAGCATTTTTCTTCCAAAAAATTTCTTTTCTTTGAATTATAGGTTAAATCTTGAAACCACCAAGCGAAAGTATAAAAGAGAACGGAGGAGTACAAAAAGCCCCTCAAATTAAGAGTTAAAGATAATACAAGATGAAATAAAACACATTATATTGCAAATCACATCGACACAACAAAACATGATTGCTGCCTCAACAGAAACAACTAAGAACAAACAGGAATAACAGCTTTCATACCCACTAGCTCTAACATAACTGGTGCCTCAATAGAAGATAAAAATTTGTGGTTGTTAACCTCCATGTCTCCAACTTATATTAATTACCATGGAGGCACAAGGCAGTCCTTGTCACTTAGAACACATCAGAGTGCTAAAATAACCGATTTCTCATTGGCTCTGTGACCCACACTTTTATGCCAAGAAAAGGCAAGACGCAGAAGATTTCCTAAAAGATACTCCAAGCTAACTAGGACAAGAATATACTCTATCTCCTACAAAAACACTTCTCAGAAGAAATTTTTTGCCCTTCCAGTATCCCAATCTGAAGATTAAAGCAGCTCTATCTATCCCGTAAAGATACTTTAGTATCTCAACCAAAGACTCAACCCCACCATCCAACAACACCAAGATATAAATTTTGGGAAATTCAAAATCAAGGCAAGCATAGAAAGAGTTCCAATTCGCACTACTCAAACACACCAGAACTCTACCCAAATTTCAATCACCCAGAAATTTTATTTCACATATGAACTAAAATCAACTGCCCTGTAACAAAGTCACTTCAGGAAAAGAGAGAAGAAACTACGAAGAAAAAAAATCTTTTCAACTCCATTTGTACAATTCATAACATCAAATTCCATGAAGAAAAAAAAAATACAGCAAGTTACATAATTTCAGCCCAACATAAAAAGAAGATGGAGAAAGAGTAATAAGATGCAGAGGAGCAGAAACCAGAGCCAAATGAAAGATGGGTTACCTGATCAGAGAAGATTGGAGCAAAATGAAGAAGCAGAAGATGATGGGTTTTCCTTGTAGGAGATTATGAATTATGATGGCAGTGCGGGGAAAGCATGGAAGTTCCAGTACAAGTTGATAGAAATGGAAAAGGCGTGCAGGACTGGAATCTTTGTTTTCTTTTTATACAAGCGCAGTCCAACGCCCGCCAGATGCCCATTTACTTGCGTGGACTTGCAGTTGGCAAACTATATCATTCTTACTTCTACACTTCTACTGGTTGGTTCTGTTTTTTTTCCTTTTTCGGATAAAATTATCAATACTTACTTGCTAAGCATATAAAATGGAAATGACTTCCTAGTACTACTATGAGCTGGTCAAGGAAAAATAAAGAAGTATTTTGACTGACCAATTAATCAATGTTGGAGCTTAAAAATCAAGGCCTTCAACATTTTCATACAGATAAACAAATTTAATGCAATTATCTTGTGGGTAGGTGGCATGCAACTAAATATATATATAACATAAAAGACTCACTAGTGTAATGGTTTGAAGCAATTGCTCCCTCCTCCAGGAAAGATTTTGAGTTTGAATCTTAATATTCGTGTAGTGTGTATGAATTTAATATATAATCGTCCCTCCTAATAAAAAAAAGTCCTAAAAAAATAATTTATTGAGAGAGTTGGTGTATATATAAATTATAATATAAGAACACATTAAAGCCCTACCTGCATAATATCTTGGCTTAGACAATGGATTATATTTTCCCAGTTCTTCATATGTATTGTATGTCCATTGTATAAGTCACTCCATTGAAATGGAATTGCAAATGTAAATTGTATGATGAATTGTTATCATCACTCACTTAATTTGTAGTCCTAGAAATACATTATTGAATCCTATATAAGCCTTAATTCAAGCAGCATGAGATGAGCGGTGTTAGGGTAGATAGAAATTTCTGATTTTGGTGTCGACACGTATGAGTCGAGAAAATTATTGTATGCGTCGGTTATATATCATTATCCTAGGAATATACCACACGACAATGCGATTCACGTGAATATTATGAAACAAACGTCACATATAACCTGCCCACATAAAGTTTGAGGACAAATGTTTGGTCATAAATTAATGTCCATATATTTTTAAGCAATTCAACTATTATACTTCAAAGGAAGCCCATAACTATGTAGGCCCAGTTCTCAAATGGGCCTATCAATATGACCAAACAAAGCCGAATACATATGACTTTGAAATAAAACATGTACAAGAAGCAGCATGTGAACAATGCCACGTGGTACCAATGAGAGCCCCTACAGCCTTATCCCACATCAAAATCTAATCTTCCCATCATCCACTTCCCTGATCCAATATCCAAAAAATTAACCAACCATTTGCCTTCACATATCACACAAACAAACAACACACATCCAAAGCCAATTTTCCTCAGCACCACAACTCAACTTGCGCAAAACCAATCCCACTTCACTCAATACACAGACAAGAATCACAAAGAGAGTGAGTGAAAGGAAATGGCCTCAACTGCATGCTTTTTGCACCACCATGCACTCACTACAGCTTCTGCCAGGTCCTCCTCATCACAGCGCCAAGTGGTGAATGTCAAGCAGAACCAGATTGTGATCTGCAGGGCTCAGAAGCAGGCTGCCCAGGAAGAAGATGGCGCCGTTAACGTCTCCCGGAGATTGGCTCTCACAGTCCTCATTGGAGCTGCAGCCCTTGGCTCCAAGGTTTCCCCTGCTGATGCAGCTTATGGTGAATCCGGTAAGAAATGTTATCTTGCCGAACAGTCTCAGATGAATAATTATTTAGTATTGACAGTCTCGCAACATAACATACAAATTTAAGAAATACGGTAAAAATTGACAGTTTGACAACATAAACAACATGAGACGATCCATGTATAATACATTTATTCTTTTCCTCAATCAAATTGAACTTAAATTATGATTAAATGCATATGCAGCCAACGTTTTTGGAAAGCCAAAGACAAACACCGACTTCTTGCCATACGTTGGAGAAGGATTCAAGCTTTCGATTCCTGCAAAATGGAACCCAAGCAAAGAGGTTGAATACCCTGGTCAAGTTCTGAGATATGAGGACAACTTTGACACCACCAGCAACGTGGCTGTCACAATCACCCCGACCGATAAGAAGGCTATCACTGACTATGGCTCTCCTGAGGAATTCCTCACCAAGGTGTGATAGCTTCTCCTTCTTTCCATTGACAATGCAATATATATATGTTTTCATTTCCTTCATCATTTAAATACTGCCAATTACTAACAATTTAGTTTTGATATATGTTGCTTTTTGAAGGTGGACTATTTGCTCGGCAAACAGGCCTACTTTGGCAAGACTGATTCTGAGGTATAATTTGATATATAATACAGAGCACTAAGTGGTTTGAATAAATGAAATACTGAACACCATTTAACGGATAAAATTTGGTGACACTCAATAGAGAAGATAGCTTTTACCTGCAGCCATAAAAAGCATGGTTACTTTAGCAAATGCCGACTGCCTGACCTTGCAATATATATAACATCCATAGTGGTGGCAACTATGTGAATTCTGATGGTATTTGACTTTGAATTGGTATAGGGTGGTTTCGACTCCGGCGCTGTGGCCACGGCCAACATATTGGAATCTTCAAGTCAAGTGGTTGATGGGAAACCCTATTACTACTTGTCTGTGTTGACAAGGACAGCTGATGGAGATGAAGGTGGCAAGCACCAGCTCATCACAGCCACAGTAAAAGATGGCAAGCTTTACATCTGTAAGGCTCAAGCTGGAGACAAGAGGTGGTTCAAGGGAGCAAGGAAGTTTGTGGAGAGCTCTGCATCTTCCTTCAGTGTTGCCTAAGAATTTATTGAGGGTTTGTATATGTAAATCATCTTAAGATTGTGAATTGTCTTGAGCTCTCTAGTTTTTTTTTTTTTTTCTTTTCATTCTCTTCTTTCTTTTTTATAAGTTGGTTATAATTGAGGGAACTGGTTGGAGTATCCTTTGACTCTTGAGCATATTGAAATATTTCATGGTATTCAGGACCCTCTTTAAATGAGTTTCTTATCTCTCTCTCTCTCTCTCTCTCTCTCTCTCTCTCTCTCTCTCTCGTGACTTCGGTCATTGTAATCCAACAAAGTTGAAGAGGAGGTCCAATTTTCTGGTTACTGTTTCCCAGTTCTAAGACAATAAAGAGAACAAATGAATGGTTAAAGTTTCAACCATCCTAGATGTTTTGTCCAACAATAATGCTTGCACAATTCAGACTTTAAGCTATGTTTGTATTATTGCTCCTCAACATTGTCTTTGTGCATCTTTAAAATCCATACAATCTGAGCATTGAG